TTGAGCTAGGGCTCGAGGGTAAGGCACCCGGCTGACCAGTTGGAGAATATATTTGAATGATTAGCTGCAATTTTGGCCGTCATGCCTGCGATTTCATACTCGTCCATTAATTTGTGCACTGTAGATTGTGTCGACGAGATCGATGCTCAGCGGGTCCTTGGCTATGTTCTTTACAAAAATGGGAGAAGCGCCAAACTCTCAATACCTCTGGAGAAGTATCATGTAGATGTTGCTGCCAGGTGCTTCCATCATGGGCGTTTCATCCAAAGATTGCGAGAGAAAGCAGCGTCCTTGTCCAGGTTATCTATCATCTATTCTGAAACTTTCTACTATCGTAGTGATACTCTTTTTTATTTCCTCGATCATACGAGACATAGGGATACTGTTCGGTTGAATGATGTTATACCTTATATGAGATATATGAAGCAATTTTCTATTGATTAGCTGTCATCTTATCATTTTTTGTTTTTTGTTTTTTTCCAAGATTCATTTAGCCTTAGACAGAATTCTACTAAGTCTAAGATTTTGTTTGATGCCAAAAACTTTCCTTTAGATATCTTTTCATTTAAGAACCTGATGTTATAAAATTCAGCAGTTTGGTATTGATCGAATACTTAGTCCAACTCGTAAAAGAGGCTGCATGTGGTTTATTATGAAATTTAACAGTTCAACATTGATCGAATACTTTGTCGAGCCTCGAATCTGTAAAAGAAGGTTTTTTTGTTTTGGTTTTTGTGCAAAGGATAAGTGGTGATGATAGGATTTGATCCTTGAACATTGTTACCTAACATATTCATAGAGGCTTTTGTTAATGATCAATCCATATGAAGCTTTGAGTAAGGCATTCAAGGCGCCCTGCATCATGCTTAATTTTCAGTTACTAATTGAATAATTGAATTTAAAAAAAAGGATGTATCAGTAGGTCAATTATTGGAAAGGAAAAGTAACAAAGAAATAATCTTCAATATCAGTAAACGCTTTTCCTATACTATACTATTCAGCTATCGACAATGAGCTGATTAGATGGATCAGATTAGGTACAATGATGCTGGTACACTGAAGCATCATCGGATTAGGCAAACTTTTTTCCTGTTACTCTTAATACTGGTACAATGAAGCATCATTAGGATGCAAATCATCACTTTTGCATAAACTAAATTTCATATACATTTGGAGACTTTTTGCTTCTATATATCTTTAAAAGAAATTAAAGTTCGACCCCTTCTTTTCCAGTGTTCAGTTGAAGCAGGGAGCTGTGACATCCTTGATTAAAGAAGACGGAATAGTTAAGGGGGTAGTTTACAAGACTAAATCTGGTAAAGAATCGAAAGCTTTTGCACCTCTTACAGTTGTATGTGATGGCTGCTTTTCGAATCTGAGGCACACACTCTGTTCCTCCAAGGTAAAAATAAATAGAGAACTTGAAGTTTCTTTTCTTTTTCATTTCTCTCTTCTAATAACTGCATTTATTCATTGTAACGATTTGCCAAAAAACTCACCAGAAGTATCTCTTTTTGACACT